ATGGATCAGAGACCTAAATGTAAAACCTCAAACTATAAGAACCTTAGAAAATGAAGGAAAAACCCTCATGGAAATCGGAACTGGCATCCAATTCCTGAACAAAACCCAAAACCAGCATTCTTAAATAGCTTTTTGATTCAGGTTTTTTTACTGTTTCCTGTTCTTAATTTCATTGATTTTGGTTATTATAGTCATTATTTCCTTCTTTCGGCTGCCTTGGGTTTATTTTGCTCTTGATCTTTTTGTTTCTTGAGGCAGGAACTTAGTTATTGATTTGGGGCACTTTTCTAATAGAAGCAGTTACTGCTCTAACATTCCCTTTCAGCAGCATCATTCTGGTAGGTTGTATCTTCATTTAGTGCACTGTTTAAAGAAATGTTTGCTTTGAGAATGACTTTTTATCTTAGGCATTATTTAGAAGTATTTTGTTTAATTCTCAAATGCTTGGAAATTTCCCATTATTGATCTTTAGTTTGGTTTCATTGTGGCCATAGAATACACTCTGTATGATTTCAATCTTGTAAGTTTGTTTAGGTTTGTTTTATGACCTAAACAAATGTGAATGTTCTATGGATACTTTTTAAAAAATATGTGTAGTAGTCTGCTCTTATTGAGTGAAATGTTTGGTAAACATCAATTAGATCCTTTTTTTTTTTAACCTGTCATCCCAGCACTTTGGGAGGCTGAGGTGAGAGGATTGAGATTCTTTTAGTTGATAGTGTTGCTTCTATATTTTTACTGATTTTTCTGTCTAGTCATTCTATGATTGCTGAGAGTGGTATATCAGAAGAAAGTCTGCTAAAACAGAATATTTAAATAAGATCCAAAGTCCAGATAAGGATATTTTTAAAAATTCAGACGACAATAAAAAACTTTTTGTTACTTCAAACCATGAGAATCTCAGCTTGAAAAAGAATCAACAGACACCAACATTAAGATGACACAGATGCAGGAATTATTTGACAAGGATTTTAAAGCAGTCATCATAAACGCTTCAGTAAACATTTAGAAAAATGTTTGAAACAAAACTCTCAGCAAAGAAATAGTCTCAGCAAAAAATTAGAAGAAACAACGATGAGTCAGATTAACGTTTTAGAACTGAAACATACAATAATTGAAATAATTCCCTGGTTAGAATCAACTACTGTACGTTTAAGTTGCAGCCTTCTCTAGGACCCAAACCGTGGTCTCCACAGACAATGCAAAACATAAGAATAAAGAATCAAGAGAACTCATCTCTATGTCTTTCTTTGGATCTCAAGGTTCCTAGATGCCTTTTTCTCTCCAACTCTCAGAGTCTTCTTGTTTGTTTTATGTATAATTTCTAGGGTTTTTAGCCATATTTAGCAGGAGAAATAGGGATAAGTGTATCTGTTCCATCTTGTCAGGAACTGGATACCTATACGTTATTTTTCCCCTGTTGGTCAACTGGCCTACATCTCTTAGAATGTAACCCCCTGTGAAAGCTGGAATTTTTGTCTGTTTTGTTTACCACTCTAATAACTATATCTATACTATTTCTGGCACATAAATATTTGTTGAATGAGTAGATCAGAAATTCAGAATGGGTGACAGCTGAAATGATAAGAATTCCTGTGATGTGGCCAATGGATTGTTATTGTAGTCACCCATAATAAGTAATAAGAGTGACTGAATTTGTCTAGTTCTGTTTTTCTAGAATTAATAAAATGTAGAAAATAAATTGGATATATTAAATAATTATACTTTGTTTAACAGGCAAAATATTTCAAAAGTAGGATGGGGACGAAAATATTAGTCATGTGGTAAAATAGTTGGGAACTCTTCTGCTATTTCTAAGGATTGTTTATATCTAAAATGACTAACTTGTACAGAATTTTTGTAGGGAAGAAATTAAAATCAATCATGTTTGAGAACAGATATTAAGTAAATTAATCAACCAGTATAATAACTGAAGTGGAAATATAAAACAGATTAGAACAGCTAAATTAAATGAGGCTAAATAGCTATTATTAGTCTTCAATGTTACCTTCATTACAGTAGGAGCTCAATAGGGATTCCAATGACAAAGTAAGTTAACCAAATAATTCAATGTAATAAAATATATACATTAGCTTAAGGGTAAAATCAAAAGCTTCTAAGACTAGATAAATTTTGAGTCCATGATTTTTTTTTAAAAAATCGAACAATGTAGGGGCCTGGCACGGTGGCACAGGTCTTTCATCCCAGCAGTTTGGGAGGCCAAGGCGGGAGGATCGTTTGAGATCAGGAATTCGAGACCAGCCTACCCAACATAGCAAGACCTATCTCTACAAAAAAAAAATCAAAAAATGTATCCAGATGTTGTGGTGCATGCCTGTAGCCCAGCTACTCAGGAGGCTGAAACAGAAGGATCACCTGAGCCCAAGAGGCCAATGCTGTGGTGAGCAGTGATCTTGCCACTGTACTCCAGCCTGAGCGACAGAGTGATTCCCTACTTCAAAAAACAAAACAAAACAAAAAAACAGGAAACACAAACCAATAAACTGGAAATATTTCACATTTCTATGGTGCAAATACTTGGCAAGGGACCTGGTGATTAGCTGATAAAATTATTGCAAAATCTGATGTAAAATGAAAATAAATAGAGTTTAGACATAGAAACCAAATTAATAACTCAAGCTGTGGTTAGCAGAAAACCCAGGCTCGGATGGGCGAGAGTTGACCTTGTCCTACTGTAAACGTTCACAAAGTTGAAAAGGGACTAGACCCACGGGAAGGGAATGTGGGGTGGGGCTGGTCTTTTCCCCCTCGGGGCTGTGGAAGAAAAGTCTGCAGGGAGTCTGCTCCGCTCCCCCCCCCGCCACCATCCGCCAAAGTTACCGATTGTCCAAGTTTTTATTGCAGGCAGCTGTCAAGCCCAGCACAGCGTGCCCTGGACACGCTTCTGCTTCCTTTCTGGAAACAGGTGACCTCCAGGCCCCTTTCTGGAAACAGGTGACCTCCTCTCCAAGGCCTGGCAGCCGAGGCCTGAGGTGCTCACTCATATGCATCTCCAACTTCACGCTATTCCCTTGACCGGCTCAGCTATAGATCCCCCACCAGCAGAGCGTGGGCATTCTGGGCCCAGGCGTCCCCGGTCGCCCTAACAAGAATCTTATTTGTCTACCTTCTTCCTGCCTTTTGGATTCTCATAATACCTCAGCCAGCGTGTTCTTGGCCAGACCTGCTTGGGCTTAAGCAGCACAGATAGCACTCATTAAAGAAACCAGGAGAAAAAGTTCCGTGTTGGATTGGGATATAAGGAGCACAGAAAGGAAGAAAAGATGCCTTGCCATAAATGCTTTCTAGATGGAAGGTAATTGAGAACCATTTATCTAAGTTTTTAGGAGAAGATAGTGGAGGGTCCTTCCCTGCTAGAAATTTTCATCATTAGAATAACTCTAATACACCCAAGATTAACGTATTAACAACAACAACAAAAAGCTTAATTAGCTTACCTTTTAACTAATTCACTTATGAGACCTTACTCTTTTTTTTTTGAGTTGGAGTCTCACTCTGTCGCCCAGGCTGGAGTGCAGTGGGACGCTCACAGCCACCCCAGCATTGACCTGTTGAGCTCCAACGATCCTTCTGCCTCAGCCTTCGTAGCCAGAACTACAGGTGTGTGTTACCACGCCCAGCTAATTTTTTATTTATTGTAGAGACAAGGTCTCGCCAAGTTCCCTGGGCTGGTCTTGAACCTACGGACTCAGGCAATCCACTTGCCTCGGCCTCCCAAAGTGCTGGGATTACAGGCTGACCCACCGAGCCTGGCTGACACCTTACTCTTATTGATCACAGTTGCAGAGGTAACATGGTGGTTTGCAGAGTTTGGTCTGCACATGATTGACATACATCATGATAATGTTTTAAAACTACTTCCTACTTCATAGAAAAATTCATGCTCCTCTTGAAAAACTCTTAGGATCTGGCTACCTAGAGATGGATTGTGACTTGGCACTAATTGACTAGAACTGAAAAGAGAGGTGTTTTTTTAATTACAGTCTCCATCACTTCTTCAATCACTTTTGTTAACTGCCTAGATAGTGTTTTAGGAAAAAGTATGAGATTCTCCTGTACCCAAAGGAAGATAGAAGCAGGCAAAGTTGAAGCCATGGAGGGAGCATCCAAAAAAAATTTTTTAATGCTGTTAACTATATTTCCTTTTTTCCCCCTCTATTCCAATAGCTTTAGGGGGGTACACATAGTTTTTGGTTACATGGTTGCATTGTATACTGGCGAAGAAGTCTGGACTTTAAGTATACCCACCACCCCCACCTGTGCACATTGTAACCAATGGGTGAGTTTTCCTCTCTCCACCCCTTCTCACCCTCCCTCCTCTGAGTCTCCAGTGTCCATTACAGCTTTCTACATGACTTTGCAGATCCTTAGTTTAGCTCCCACTTAAAAGTGAGGACCTGTGGTGTTTGATTTTGTTCCTGAGTTAGTTCACTTAGGATAATGGGAACATCCAGAATCTTAGGAAGCCCAAGGACAAAAGACCTATCTTTACTGAGAGCTGGACGTGGGGCTCTTCCTCTCAGCCTCCTCATTTGAACTGAGTCTTCTAAAATTCTCGTCGTTATTTCATACATTCATCAAGTTGCTTCCTGTTCACAGACTTTGTTTTTACAGATCCCTCTGAAAAGGGTGAAAAGCTGTTTCTACACCCCCACCCCCACCCCAGATAATTCTTTCAGGCATTAGATGAACGTAATTTAGTCAGACAGCTTGGATTCCCCAGATCAGGTGAGAACTCATGTTAAAAATTGCCATCACATCATCTGTACTTTTTCTTCAAGTCTCAAAGCCTCTTACCATGAGATAATTATATGACCATTTATGGAATTTTTTTATTTGCTTTGTATTTGGGTCCTTCATGAGGCTATAATATTAACAAGAATAAGGGAAATATGTCTGTCATGCTCTAGTGCCTGCAACAAATAACTTTTGAAGGAACTTCTTAATTTAAGATAGAAATTAGTTTTACCATATCTTTAACCAGAAGTCCCATTTCGAGCTTGCTCCTTTTGAAAAAACACTGGATCTGGCTCAGTGGAAATGGACGGCAACTTCCAATAATTGGCTAGAACTGAAAAAAGGAGAAATATATTTGACATAATCCCCATTTCCTCACCTCTCATCTCTCTGATCTGGCCACCTTTAGCTGTTTTTTTGTTACCTGCCTGGATAAGTGTGCAGAAGAGGCTTAACTTAAAAGACCCAGGTTGCTTAAACCCTGCACATTCTAAAGAAGAATCTGTTTTCAGAAGGACTGACCCTTGACTGATTCCTGGGACAAAACTTCTGAGCCCTTGGAATATACTGTCAGATAAGAGTGTTTTGTATGCTTGTAGTCTTGGGTCCCACTGTATTCATTTGAGCAGATAATTTATATTAACAATGTGACTTACAGTCAACATTTGTTTTTGTATGTCTGAGGCCCTGGGTCATGATTTATTGGCCTAACCACTGGGGGCTGGAACAATGAGTAGCTAAGGTCAGGCTTGCAAGCCTAAATGACGGATTCCCAATAAAAACCCTGATAGACAATACTCTGCATATGTTGCAGAACATCATTGCTGTGAGAATTCAGTGCATCCTCACTGGGAGGAGACACCACCTGGAAGGTTGTGCTTGGCTTCTCTAGGACTTCACCCATGTGCCTTTTCTTATTGCTGACTTTCATCAGTTTCCCTTTACTGTAATAAATTGTCACTGTGAGTATAACAGTTTTTCTGAGTTCTGTGAGTCCTTCAAGTAAATCAAGACTGAAGGTGGTCTTGTGGGTCTCTGACACAGATGGCATCAAAAGAGGGATTTGCTAAAACCACCTCCAACTCACTGAAACATGACAAAAGCATTGTCTAGAAAAAAGAAGACAGAGTTTGACAACCCTTTGATGCCTAGATGGCTACTGATTCACCCATGGTGAGACAGCAGTTATGTTGTGATTAGTTATGAGATAAGGATACCAGTGGAACTTAGAAATCATAGACACAGCTGCTGAGGAGTTGACTCATTGCATGCCTAAGGAACTGCAAAATAAATAGCAATCCCTTGAGTTCTGTGATTCCTTCTAGTGAATCTCCAGGCTTGAGGGTAGTCTTGGGGAACTCTGAAACAATAATATTATAGAAAAAGGCATTTCTCTCTTTACCTGAGGGAAGAGAGAAGAAGGGAAGACTGAAAGGGTGAAAGAGGGGATGGTAATACTTTTTTAAAAGTTCAAGGGAAAAATTCTCAGTTTTCCTAAGAAGAGGAGACAGGGCTTTTCTCCTTATTGGGCCTCCTGTCTGGCAGTCTTTCTTTTCTCCCTAAGATCCAGTCCCGAAGCTTTCTTGGTTCCTCAAAATCATCAAGCTTCCTTTTCCTTCATTCCTGCAGATTCTTCTGCCTGAAATGCTATACCTATTTCCGCCCTGCTTTCTCTGTCAGGTCTCTCAGTTTAAATGTCATATCCTGAGAGAGACCTGATTTTCCATACTAAATAAGGTTCTCATTATACACTGCTGTCACATCATTTACACGTCTCTTTCTAAACTTTTGCCACAATTATAAATATACTGCTGCTTATGTAATTTTTAAGTTGTCTCCCCCACTAGATTATAATGTCCACAAGAGCAATGGGAATATGTATGTTATGTACAAGTGCCTACAAAAAAACAATTATTGAATGGATTCCTCCTTTAGCTTAACGCAGAAGTGGCTTTGACATGCCTCCAACTAGAAGTCCCATTTCCAGTATATGTCGAATGTGGCAAAATCGGAATTCAACATCCCATTCAGGTGTGTCCTTGTCAATGTTCTCATATCATCTACTTCCTAAACAAATGATATTCATCTTGTTACTGGCTTTTGTTTTGCTGTATACATGTCACCAGCTGAATAATTTAGGTGACAAGCACGCCAGTTAAGATGGTATATGAAGGCTGATGACTTTGCTTCCAAGTTCAGCTCTTCCATTTATAATAACTGAATTACCTTGACAAAGTTTTCAAATTTCTATAAGCCCCAGTTTTCTTATCAATTATAACAGCTGCCTCAGGCTTAGTATTAAATGAATTAACGTAAGGCAGTTAGCACAGGACTTGGCAAACAGTAAGTAATAGCTATCATTATGATTTTCCTTCTACTTTACCCCAAAGTTACATACTTAGTATAGGTTACTGTAGCCTTCCCCCTTTCTCTGATCCCTTCAATACTGAGTACCCAGTATGTGCAAGGGATCTGGAATACAACTATGAACAAGACATACCCAATTCCTCAAACAGCCATAGTCACCCAACATCCAGCTTTATTTCTTATGTCCTCTTATCAGAAAGTGAGAAGCAGGTGATTACCAACACATATTAGTGGATTTCATTATTATAGGCCCAAATATATGGTTCAGCCCTGATTAAACTAATTGGCAGCATCTACTAAAGTTGAACATATGCATGACTCTGCAATCCTACACCTGGATATATAAGAGAAATATGTATACATGTTCACCTAAAAACATGTAGAAGAATATTTCTATAGCTGCATTATTTGTCAGTCTCAAACTAGAAGTTGCCAAATGCCCATCAATAGTAGCATGAATAAATTAACCCAGTTTACTTGCCTGTGCCCTCTATTGCCATCCTCCTACACTCATCGGCAAGCAGGAACTCTATTTGTGTTTGTATTTCATATACCTGGCAGAACATGGTGTTTAATCATGGGGGGATATATAAGAGCTGGGTATTTGTTGGCTGATGTTGAGGAAGGAGTAAAGTGACAGATAAAAGATCAAACTGCTCCTTTTGGGGAGGGGGGTGACAGGATCCCTATCTCCTATTCAGATTTTTGTTATTTTTTTTCTATGAAGTCTCCTGGTGGCTTCGATTCTAAGTACCCAGAACCTTACTGAGACTTTCTCCACTTTCAGTAGATTGAGGTGAATTGATAGGTTGATGGTTACACTTGAAACTCCACTTAAGTCTAGGATAAGGCTATAGGATTCTATCAAAGTTCATCTATTGAGAGCCTCCTGTTTTGCCTTGAGTAACTAACAGCAGAGGTAGACCACTGCTAGGCAGCTGGCTGATCACCCCACAGAATGGTACATATTGGGGTTCAGTGTTGGTTTTTGCTATTGGCAGACTGGGTACTCAGCAGTGACTCTAACTAGGTTGTCCTTAGTGAATGAAAGTCCATGTTTTCAACCTATGCATAACTCCAAAAACCACTCCATTCATAAGCCCATTAAGCAATGACAAGAGTGTCTAGGGAAAGGGGCTGACTGATACAGTAAAACAGGTTATCTTAGCTACTTGATAATTAAAATTCTCCAGTGGGAAGGGTCACCCTTTGGTAAATACTCAATGGTACACATATATCTTCATATTCAGTGCTTGTTTGGAGGGGTTTATTCACATACTTCTTCCCACACCTCCTTGTCTCAAATATTTCTATCATATTCCTTCCAAGTCCCTGCCCTTCCAACCAAATCAATGTGCACAGCTCATGAACTGTTAATGGACTTACATTTCTGGCAATCTCTTCTTCTAGGCAAAATAAATAAGGTGCACTGATTGATGTTCTGTCCCCTGGAGAATTTTGCTTTATCATTGTCCTTCAGGAATTTCTGAGAGTTAGGTTGTAGCACTGCAGCTGTTCGTTTTTGGATACTGCCTGTATGTCATGCAAAGTCATCTGTAAATCAGACCCAACTTTTTTTCTTCCTCAGTCAATTGCTCATAGAGGACTTTCCATGAGTCCATAGGTTTGTGCAGATGAAGACAAGGTAATGTAGTAGTAGAAATCCTAAGTATTTGGGTTCCTTCGTGCAACTTGTCTTCAGGGCCTATTCAAGCTCGATCGTGTATCTACTATTTCTATTTCATAGTGAAGTGCTGTTGTGCATGACTAATTTTATGATTTAGTAGATAAGACAACATCTAATTCATGATGAGCAGAACAAGTCACATGGTAACATGGTGGTCCATGGCCAAGCATTTATTCTCTACTATGGTCCAGTAGCAAGTAAAAAACTGTTCTCAAAATGAGAATATCTGTAGAATGGCATGACTTTTCCCCCAAATCCTAAGGGTCTGTTCTGTGATTAACCTACAGAAATCTGCCAAAGTCTCTGAGCTACATCTCTATCACTGAGAATTAGGGATCATTAAATCTACTCTATTATAAGAAAGGAGTTTCTAGTTCCTGAAAAAAATCACTAATAGGGTCTAGAATCGATTTACTTACAGGATAAGCCTGGAAAGCTTCAGGTATTTTAGTCCATAGTATGTCTTTTTAAGAGACAGGGTCTGGCTCTGTTGCCCAAGCTAGACTGCAGTGGCTTGATCATAGCTCAATATAGCCTTGAACTCTTGGGCTCAAGCAATCCTTCCATCTTAACCTCCTGAGTAGCTGGGACTACAGACATGCACCACCATGCCCAGTTAAGTTTCAACAATTTTTCTGTAGAGTCAGCATCTCACTATGTTGCCTAAGCTGGTCTCAGACTCCTGGGCTCAAGTGATCCTCCCACCTCAGCCTCCCAAAGTGCTGATTGTGAGTCACCAAGTATGGCCAGTTTTAGGTATTTTAGAGAGTAGAAAGCCAAGGTTGACTTGACACTAACGGCCTATAAGTAGACATGTTAAAAAAAAAAAGCCACTGGTAAAGGTTGAGTGCTGCTAAATGTCTAATGGAAAGACATTAGATGAAGAAAATGATGTAGATGAAGAGACATGACATAAATTACATAGATGAAAATAATCAGATGAAGATAATGATAGTGGAGAAAGGTACTAAACTAATATGTGAGTATCCTCTATGTGCCACACATTGTGTTAGTTAAGCACTTATATTTATTTATAAGTTTTAGGATTACAATCTGTTTCTAAATGAGGAAACTGAAGCTCAGAGTTTAGTGACATACTCAAGTGAAAAAAATTGAATTACTGATACATTCAACATGGATGATTCTCAAAATAATTATGCTGAATGAAAGAAGCCAGACACCCCCCCAAAAAGAGAAAGAGAGTGAACATACTGCATGAGTCCATTCATACACAATTCCAGAAAATTGCAAACTAAATTTATAGCAACAGAAGGCAGATCACAGGTTGCCTGGAGATGGGGGTAGAATAAAGGTAAAGGTAGAAGGAATTATATCAAGGGGCATGAGAAAATTTTTGGTGATATTTGATTGATTTTGGTGACTGTTTCACATGTTAAAACTTACCAAACTATACAATTGTACAGTTTATTACATATCAATTTCCCGCAATAAAGCTGTTTAAAGCCATAGAACTTCATTGCATGTTCTAAGCAAATAAATTTGAAAATCTTAATGGAATGGATAATATCCTAGGCAAATAAAGATTAACAAAATGGACCACTCCATTGTAAACAGAGTGCCGAAGTAGACCATTTTCATAGAATAAAGGAAGTTTCCAAGGAACTATCCCCCAAAAAGCATGTAACCCAGAGGGTTTCACATTAGAATCTATCCTTCAATGATCAGCTAGTTCCAATGCTTCATAAATTGTTTTAGAGCACTAAAAATTACACATGCTTAAATTATTTTTATGATGCAAATAAAAGAGTGAAACCTAAACCTAAAAAATATAGTATAAAAACTATGGACCAAATTCCATGGATATCGAAAAAATGTACTAAATAAAATATTAGCAAGTAAACCCATTAGAACATTAAGAAAATAATGCAGCTGGGTGCAGTAGCTCATGCCTGTAATCCCAGCACTTTGGGAAGCCAAGGTGAGAGGACTGCCTTGGCAACGTAGTGAGACCTCATCTCTACATTAAATAAAAAAAATCAGCTGGCCATGGTGGTGTGCACCTATGGTTCCAGCTACTTGGAAGGCTGAGGCAGGAGCGTGCCACTGCACTCCAGCCTGAGCGATAGAGTGAGATTCCAACTCAAAAAAAAAAAAGAAAAAATAATTCATCACTAAGTGAGGTTTATTCCAGAAATGTAAAGTTGGTACGATATTAAGAAATCCTTTTATATAATAGAGTTAAGGAAAAGAATAATGTAATTTCCACAGATGCTAGAAAAGTCTTTCATAGAATACAATTCTTCTAAAATGGCAGCAATACCTACACAAAAAATTTATGAATGTACTATACATACAAAGCCAGAATTCTGAAATAATCACTGCAAAGTTTTGAAATACATGGTTCCTATATTTAGTTATCTACTATAAAATATGCAAGCCTCACTCTCCTTTCATAGGTAGAGATTGGGCTATTTTATCAACTTGCTAACAGACAGCTTCTAAACATTCTTTTCTTTTTGCCTGTAGATTTTAGAGTTGAAAAGGTTAATAAGCAAGTTACTTAAAGATTAGCCTTTACAATGTTATGAGTTATCTACAAGAAAAAACACCAGTCACTATCTGTCAATAGACTACAGTGAAATTTCTTCTTCTATCTTAAAAAAATAACTAAGCCAAAGCTGGAAAAATATACTCTTTTAAGGACTTCTAATGGCCTCGTGTTGGAGAACATAGAAGCAGTCCCATATTTATGAAAGTGCCCAGCAATTCAACGTAGTTCCTTTAACTACATTTACAAAAAAAAAATTATACATGCAGTTTTTGTGTCCTAGGGTACCCACACAAGGCTATTTAGCCCACAAAGAAAATGAAATATCACATATTTACAACAAACAGTAGATAATAGTACTACTATGTATTACCTGTTGAATGAATTAAAGATATGACTAGAGCAGGCATATTGGAAATAACATGTCTCCTGAAACAGAAATAATTATCCAGGAATCAGAACACAGATCCAGAGATGCAGGTAATAGCTTATTTCAGAAATCCTGATTGCTTACATATATAGATCCCTCTGGGGAGGGAAAAATAACTTCTGGTCTTTCCTTTTCTTGACATGAGACAGTCATTTAATGTTTTTACTGGCTAACATGGGCAATTTAAGATACTCCCATACAACTTGCCCCTTTATACAAATTATCTTTTCAGTATTGTGGACACTCTATTGTCTTGATCTCTATCCATAGAACTTCCTATAACTCTATCATTTATAAGAGCCTCTCTAATATAAATTTTGCTGATATTTCCCAGGGTCCAACCCTGAAGACTTTTCCATACCCATCACACTGACAGAGTGTCCCTTTAATGTAAATTCTCCAATGCTGAATGAATGAAGCTGGTGGATTCCATGGAAAGCACTTCCACACTCAACATGTTTATAGGATCTCCCTCTTGTGCAGATTTTCTGGTAACTTCTGGGTGAAGACTTCTAGATGAAGATCCTCCTACATACTTCACACAAGGTTGTATAAGGTTTCCTTGCTGAATGAAGGCCTTCATAATCATCACATTTATGCAGTCTCTCTCTTAGGTGGATTCTTTGATATTCATGGCCAAAAGCTTTCCCACATTCCTCATACTGATAGTATTTTTCCCTGTGGTAGATCTCCTGGTGGGAAAAGAAGGAGCCACCATAAACAAAAACCATTCAAAATTTGGTGATCACAAAGAGATTCTCTTCAGTGTGGACTCCTTGATGCTGAGCAACCAAGGACTAAAGCTTTTACTACACTTACTGCATTGATGTTGCAGTTCTACGGAGACGCGCCCCCTGCCCCCAACACACACACAAAATTCAGCATCTCCAAAATGTTCCTGTGTTGGAGTCGAGTCCTTATTTTCATTCTCAGTAACATCGTCTAAAAAAGAAAAATGCAGGGACAATTCAAATGTTATTTGTCTCTTCTGAGATAGAGATGTAGTAACAGCGATACTAATAAAACCCAGTTTTACGCAAAGTGCATGCCTTTTCTAAGTCTCTAAACAGATATCTCAATCTTGTGAAGTGCCCAAAAAGGCACATGCTGGGAGGAGGTCCAGTTTGAATGAGAAGAAAAAACAGTTAGGCAGAGAGATTATAAGAGTATGAAAGCCTGTTCTCATAAAAAGTGACAATCAAGAATCAGGAAAATACAATTTAAAAAGAAGAGATCAGTTTGAATTCAAAACTGAAAAACAAGAAATATCATGAAACCAAGATAAAGTTTTATTTCTTAAGGACAGTTGAAAGGACTATTTCTACCTATTGATATGTTCCTAGGCCACTACTACAGACTTACAAAATGCTCAATGAATATTTATTGAGTGTCTCTTTAAACAATGGGACATGATAAAAGTTAACTTGTAGCAATAGCTAAACAGCTTCAAAATACATACTAGTTTGTTGTGTATCAACTAAAAAATTTACAGTGGAGAAATAACTTTTCCAGGTAATGTTCAGGTCTAAAACATTAAGGTCTAAAAGAAAGCAATGCTTAGAAGCTAAAACAGGTAAACAGGTTAAAAAAAAAACACACACACACCTGAAACCTCTAAAAATATGGCTGAGAGTTTTTACTTAAAGAATTAGGTAGACAATAAGGAGATGGCAGAGGCAAGGTTTCAGAGAGAGAGGGGAACTAAAATTTCTAAAAAGCTTCCCCTCTCTTTTTCTGTCCTTCTCTCCAGAGTTCCTTCTCATCAGCTTTCCAAATCAAAAGGCAATAATGCTGAGAATAAAACTAAGACAGGGTCTTAGGTTAGATCTGAAAACTTTGATTCCAAAGTACTATCTTTGCCTTTGCTGTAGGCATATCTTATCCTATCCTTTAGCCTGGGACCTTAAGCCAATGCGATAAATTGGCCTTGGAAAACTGAATCTGAAGCTAAACCCTCAGTAAAAAATGCCCAAGCAAACAAAAAACTCCAATATAGAAAGAGAAAGTTCCAGAGGTATATATAAATAGCAGGAAGAAAAAAGTCCCAAGAAGGAAACACTGGGTTATGGCTCCAGAGACATCTGGAGTTTTGTTGTTTTCGATACTATTCCCAAAGTCTTTGCTAGTCAAGCCACAGTGATCCTCCCAATCCTTCCCACCTGTAGCTTGTCCTTTATTCAAGCTGTCTCTTCAACTTTTTCAGCACAATCAGTGTCTCCTCTCCACATTTTGGATGGCATTATTCTGTAGCTTCCCAGTCAGGAGTCAGGATCTGTTCCAGCACCTGCTTCTTGATATGTATTTCTGGCCTCCAGAAATGCCAGAACTCCCTGAGTCTTCTGACAGGTCTATAAGGTCCTAGTAGTAACAACTTAAAGTTTGAGGAAAGACCTGTGATTTCTTTGCAAGCCTGATTTGTAATCCCAGGTACATTCCTCTTCCTCTATCTTCAGTCACTATTAGAGATCTTTCCTGCAACAGGATTGCCATTCTGGAATGAGAGAGCTTAGGAGAAGATTCACTCCAGCTTGGGGTTCACATTGATTTTTCAGAAGTATTTCTTTGTAGATGGTCTTCTTCCTGAGGCATAAAATAACAATGTTAACAGAAACTAAATTTTGTTTAGCTCTTTTAGCCAAGAACTCACATACCTGAACAACACATTGAAGAAAATGGAACTGTGTCAGGAAGCTAAATAAATTAGGAGAGCAGGTGTGGCTTTGCAAATTATTAGCTAGCCCCATCTTCTAGCCTTTTACTTCCTAAATGTTTGTTAATAAAGCTTGAGAGAAAGACCATGACCCTCTTCCCCGTTCTCCCATTCACAGAACCCCATATAAACCGCAAAGAATGGGACATCAGAATTGAGAAATGACAGCATATATACTTTTTTTTTTTTTTTTGAGTTGTCACCCAGGCTGAACTGCAGTGGCAAACTCACGGCCACCGCAGCCTCCACCTGCTGGGCTTAGGCAATCTTTCCGCATCAGCCTTCCAAGCAGCTGGAACTACAGACGCACGCCGCCACGCCCGGCTAGTTTTTTTGTGATTTATTGTCGAGACCTGCTGGTCTCTAAATTCTCGGTTCAGGCAATCCTCTCCCCTCAGCCTCCCAAAGTGTTGGGATTACAGGCTGAGCCACCGCGCCCAGACAAAAGCTAATATTTAAAGAGTGCTACAAACGTAGTCATTTAAGTAGACACTATTTTAATTTCACTAACAGATTAATGGCACTGAGGCACAGAGAGATTCAGTAATTTGCTCAAAATCACACACTGGTCTCCTTTCCTTGTACTGAAGTGTCGACCTATCTACTCTTAGGAGAGTCATGAACTACATCATTTTCCCCCAATCGACTCCAACTTTCCTTTTACCAAACGGGCACCCGGACTTTTCTGTTTCCAACAGCCCAGTTACCCAGATACCTCAAAACTTGAAGTCATGCTTGACTTTCCAGGCAGCTCTCCAAACACCAAGCTCAACCTCCTCCGAGCCACTGAAAGGCCGAATCGGAACCGAGTTCGAACGAGCAGTCCACCAACCTAAGACCACCCCAGCCTCCAAAGGTACGTCACAAAGGCCGAAACGGCCCGCAGTTCTAGGACTCGCCGCGGTCACCAGCGGCCTCAGCCTTCAGCTTCTCTAGGATCTTGGAGGACTTCTCCTCTCTGTGGTTGCCTGGCCGTACGCGCCCCCGCTGAACAGCACCGGTTCCGGTTGCGCAGTCAGGTAACCCCAGTGGCCTATGCTCCCAGCTTGAGGCGCGTCAGCCCCACGGGAAAATCGGCCTTTCCGCGCAAAACTTTGGAGAAATAGCTCCAAAGGCAAACAGCGGAAGCCGTGGGCTGCTAGTTATTTCCGATAACAGAGGCGGGAAATTTGTTATTCAGCTTGGGCGACACGTGTCCCCTGGTGGCCACTGTTCATCAGTTCCTAAGGCAAAAAAGTAAAAGTAGACTTGGGTGGGAGCTTTCATCTCAGGGTCGGGCGGGCTGTGCAAAAGAGCCGGGAAACTTGTAGCACGGTTAAAGGTAAATTCTTACCTAGGGCAGGAGTATATAGAGTGAACCCAGCTGAGAGAGCCCACAGTTAACAATTTTAAAAAATGCAAACAGTATAAAGCACTAAATATGTACCAACCACTATTCTAAGCACTTTATATATAACATTTAATTCACATATCCGCCCAATTAGGTAGGTACTATTATTGTCATTTACACATAAGAAAACTCAGTCATTAGAGAGGTTAAATCACTTGCTAAAGTCACTCTGCTAGCAAGTTGATATTTGAACCCTGGCACTCTCAAGCCATGTTCTTAAACCTTGCCTCAGGATAAGTACAAAATTTGGCTACAGAAAACTGTTCAGTTCCTAAACTACCTCATTTTTTATAGGGGATGAAATGGGGAGATACCTACTCCTAAGTCCACATTGAAGTAGGTTGAATTAAAGCAAAAGATCAAAAAAGCAAGATATGCATACCAAGCCTGAAGAGGAATAATGATCTAACTATAAATCAGAGGTTACAAATGGCCTCCACTTAGGAGTCCTTCTGTGAACACCCAGGAGCAGACCAATAGGGCTTAGGAAAATGACCTGCAAGCCCAAACAGACATACACCCCAGAGGTCATCCTGAACTATGATGGGTGAAAGCTCTGGGAACCTTGACTAATCAGTTTCAGATGCCAAAATGGTCTTTTTTAATGTGTGTGAAGAGAATCAACTGTTTCCGTGAAACATGGTTGGCTTAGTAAAAATCAAATTATATATACCAAATCATATCTATAAATATATACACTACATGAAATATATTAATACATACATAATTTTTATGTATTAATATGTATGTAGAAAAAGTATATATGTACAAAAAATAACATGCAAAGACTCCTTACCAATTACACCCAGAAACATCTGAAAGGGGTGAAGGTTCAAAGAAATTCTAACAAAATGATGAGCTGCTGGAGGAGCTGGGGTACAAGAACTTTTCAATGTGAAAGGATAAAAGTTGGGAAGAGATTCAGATAAAGACCATCAAATGATTATCCCTAAGTTGAACAACACTTGTTGCTCAAATTCTGGCCTATGGCATCAGGAGGAACATCATTTAAACTGTAAAGGAGGTAAATTTTAAGCCAATACATATTTTATACAATGTAGAATTATGTTTTTTTTTTTTTAATACAAGAAACTCCAAATATAAAATCACTTTTTAAAAACTCCCATCCATAACGGGTTATTAACACTTAGGGTCATACCTTTAAGATCTGTATTAGACAGCCAAATATCCCTTATTCCATGAGAATAATGCAGAGAGTAAATTATGGTTCTAAGCTAGAAGGGTGATTAATTCATATGAAGGGCCTGTTTTTAAAGTGAAATAGGCTCCTGCCACACCCTCCTGTGCGGCTACAAGACATGTACAACCCCCTTCACTGTGCAAGCAATAAGAATCAGGTCTATGTTTATGCTGGCCAAATACCTCATCCAAGCTTTGTTACGCAGAGAGGGTGATGCCTGAGGTGTTTGGACCGCAGGACTCTGAGGTTTCTGAGGTGTTTTCCAAAATAGTGATAAGAGTTGAAAAGTTTTCACAGATAATTACTCAAGACACTGAATTAACACTGCAAAACATGGTTTGTTCAACTAAAATAAATTTAACAAGTGTATCATAGGTGTTAAAAGTGTGGGCTCTGGAACTGAATTGAGCTACTTGAGTTCAAATCCTGGCACCAATACATATTAACTTTGTGACATTGGGCAGCTTTAATTCAATTTTAGTTTCCCCAATTGAAAATGAAATAATGTAAGCATTTAGTAATGTCTGGTCCTTAGTAAACACTTAATAAATGTGTAGTATTTTTAACAAGCCCTTTTCTCAATTCTAAAAGATGGCCAATAATAATAATGGCTTTGACTATGCAACGCTATAATCAGTAATTTACTGTATATTAACAAAAAGGCTACCTATGTGCAGACCTTGCCTAAGTTCTCGTATCTTCGTGTTCTCTACCTCCAACCTCACATACAGTTGAGATTTCTCTACTCACAGCCCTACTCAGTCCCATTCTCCTTCTTCATTACCTCAAATTCTGGCAATCTCCTCATAAAATTTTTTTTGGGGGGAGGACCTCATCTTTTTTACCTTTGCAGTCCCACTGCACTCTCTGGAATCACTGTTTGATTGTCAGATTACATTTTCATGCATTGCCTATTTAAGCTCACTTCTCTTTTCACTGCTTTAGAAACGTGGCTCTTCCCCAACCTTTCCATGCTGTTGGTCTTAAACACTCAAATGTCTTGTTTACTTTTAATCTATTAGAAGAGAAGTCAGTTGATCCTATTCTCATTCTTAATGTTATTTGTAAGCTGTTGCTCTATGACTCATTCATTTGTGTTTTATAACAGGTACTTCTACCTGGCTATTGTGTTACTATTATTGACTGTCATCACTTCTACCTTGAACCTGCTTCACTTCACATTCTTCTTTTCATCCTGCCTCCTGTTATTGGTTCAAAATAGATAAGATGTTTGAAAGGACCCTGGTTTCCTAGATCTAGTCATTGTGACACGGTATCTATCTTTTATCCATAAATTTGTACTCTTGACTTCACAAGCCATTCTCTGTTCACCACACTCCCCAAGGCAGCACTCCCATTCCATACCTAACATCTGTCACACCCTCCACTTGCCCCTCAGGGCCTTCAATTTCTTTATATTGCCAATTTAGCTCCAACTAGTAACCTTAGTCTGTTACATTTTCTCTTTATCCTGGATAACTAGTTTGATCCCCTTTGATGCCTACCTAAAAATTCCATGCCACTCCACTTTTTATGGTACTACAACTGTATTTAAGCAAGAGACCAAACCCCTGCATTTATTTTTAAATATGTATGAACTGTATCTTTCTATATAACAGGCATATTCCATTGCTCTGGGTCTTTACGGTTCCTTTACAGTATTAGATTAAGTAGTTTGTGGAAAGGCAAACAGAGGAACGTGTGCATTGACAGAACATGTTAAATAGACAGTGAACTGGAAAGACCCCAAGTAAAGGCACTGAGAGGAGTAAAACAAGGATTGCATTCCAGTAAGCAGTCAGATTAAAGAGTGAGGTTATGAACCTATTACGAAGAGTAGTTTCAGTTTGGAGGACAAGTCTATAAAATCAGATTAGATAAGGACTACGGATAATATTGGTTTGGTAAGGAGGACATTCTTATAAAAGTTCTCTTTACTAAATGAAGTCTCTTTCAATGAAAAGAGACTGCACAACTGAGAAATGGGAGGCAGGGAAAGCTTAGGTAGGGAATAGGCCTCACATACTTATAGCTGTAGAGCTCTCAAGCTCACTCTGGGTTCCTTGTTTATTTCCTGGAGACCAAAAAAATAAAAAACCTAGATTTCCATTCCCAACAGTTGCCTCCATGCCTTACATGTGTTATGAAAAAGCCTAACTAAGGAGTTCTCAACTTATGAGCTGTTTTTCAGCTGTTCATTTTCTTTTCTGTTGTGAACTAACGAATGTTTTTCTGCACATAAAGTAATATAAGTTCCGATCCCAGAAGCCAATTTGGTACATAATATGCCTAAATTACAGTACTTATGTCATTATCTTTTCTATGGGAAAATGTATTCACATTCATAACTTTGAAAACTAGAAACATGTATTCCTGTAGGACTAGGAACTTTTCCAGTTCCAGTGACGATTTTCTGTATAAAGGTTATGGACAGAGGGGCAAAAGTCAAGAACTCTAGGGAAATGAGGCTAAAGTGTATTATGTGAGTGGGGAGAAGATGAAACAAAGACAGAAAGCTGAATAGAAAGGAAATTAGGAGAGGGACTTACTAAAGAACAATAGGTACTGCCCCATTCTTCTCTCTCCCCTTCCTCTTTTGTCATTGTCTCACCACTTCAAACCTGCTAGAAGTGAGGGGAAAAAAGGGGACTAGAGTTGTGTTGGAGTAGGGTGAGGTGGAAAAACAGTCTCAGAAATTGTGGTTTTCTGTGGCTAGAAAGAAAATAAAAGCACAGCTCTGCAGAGATTAAGAATGATTTCTGTAAATAAAAGGACAAACAAATCAAGAGCCACAAGTACTTCTATGTGGCTTATCTAAAATAATCCACTAAATAATCATCATAGATTCTCATCCAAAACAGAATTTTTTACTCAGCAATACAAGGCAGAGTCAACCAGTTGTTGGCTAATTAATTTTCAGAAGCCCAAGGGAAATTATCTCTAACATTTGGGCCTTTTATATGCTCAAGAAGAGGTATACAAACCCAAAAAATTGTAAATCAGTTCTCAAGAGCAATTATTAAGAAATTCAGAACACAATGACAGCTAGAAATGAAGAAAAGTTAAAACAGCAAAGAGCATTAGCACCCCTATCCTAAATAAACAAACACATAAAACCTTCACTCAGAAGACCCTTGGAAGGTAGGTCTGTCTCTTCTTTCGGAACTTAAATTTGAAGGAAAGAAAGGGCCACTAAAAACCCTAGTTTTTAGGCATAGCAGTGGTCTAATTCCCTAATCACTCTAAAGAGCTGGTGGCACATGTCTCCTGAAGGGCTTTCCTGATGCTAAAAATCTGCAGTGGCCCCTTGTTTATAGGACTGTGTTCAGGTTTTCTTACTTTACAGACAAGCATGAAGACAGCTATGATTCAACTTAATGTTTCTCAAATTTCAGAGTAGATCAGATAATTGTGGAGCTATAAAAATGAAGATTCTCAACTGCGACCCTAGGCCTAATGAAGCAGAAGGTCTGAGTGGGACCTGAGCATTTTAAACAAGCTTCATAGGTAATTTTGATGTTCATCAAAGTTGAGGAATCACTAGTGTAATGGGTAAGCCTACATACAAGTCAGAGACCCATACGTAGGTTGCTGGTTTTTTCCTACGTGTGGTATTATAGCTATGCCACCATCTCTATAAGCAAGAGTATCCTCATTTTTAAAATGGAAAATACTTTTGGTTTACAGAGGTATTTTAGGAATTAAGTGAGACAGTGTTCTGTGTCAAAGTGCTATAAAGTATTAGATGAAATTATTGACATTCTGGCCCTCCCACAGTCTATCCCTAAACTGTTTCCAACTTAATTCTATCAACTGCCCAATATGAATAAGTTCTCCAATTTAGGTTGGCTAGCCTTGTCACTGATGCTTCCAAAACACATGCACTTTTTTTTTTTTTTTTTGAGTTGGAGTCTCACTCCATTGCCCAGGCTGGAGTGCAGTGGCATGCCTCATGGTCACCCCAGCATCAACCTGCTGGGCTCTGGTGATCCTTCTGCCTCAGCCTTCCAAGTAGCCGGAACTACAGGTGTGTTCAATCATGCCTGGCTAATTTTTTGATTTATTGCAGAGATGAGGTCTCACCAAGTTGCCCAGGCTGTTCTTGAACCCACGGGCTCAGGCAATCCTCTCACCTCAGCTTCCCAAAGTGGTGGGATTACAGGCTTGAGCCACTGTGCCTAGCCAGCACATGCACTCTTAAGTCTGCTTACTTTTTTTACCTAAATGTTTTCTCCTTTTTGCCTTTCAAGTCTGACCATCAGACCCTTATTTTCAATAAAATATTTCCTGACCACCCTAGCAAAAGTAATCTGTCCTTTAGAATTAATGATATTTAATGTCTCCCAAGTGCCACTTTAATTCTATACCATGTCGAGCATTAATTCTACTATCCTGTAGTCTTATATAACTATATGTGGATCTTATATATCCCAAACTAGGCTATATTATATATCCCAAACTAGGCTATAACCTCTTTGAGAAAAGAAATCTAGTGTTATCTTCTTGTTCTCCACAGCACCTAATACAAAGGGCAGTACACAGCAGATTCTTATTAAATATCTGAGTTTTCCTTATAGCAATAGTGACTGAAGTTTTCCCTCAAATCATTACAAAGCTAGCATTTCTCACCAGCCTATACTCTGTGAGACAGCTTCCCTGTAGTCATCACACAGAAACAGATTTTTCTCCTTTGTGGACAGTCTGATGTTGAATAAGAGCCGAGTTCTGCCTGAATGATTCCCCACACTCTTTACATATACAGGGACCACCTTTACTATGGATTCTCTGGTGTTTACTAAGATCTGACCTCTGTCTGAAGGCTTTTCCACACTCATCACATTGGTAGGGTTTCTCCCCAGTGTGAATTCTCTGGTGCTGAATGAGGCTGGTGATTCCTCGAAAGGCATTCCCACACTCATCACATTTGTAGGGCCTCTCTCCAGTATGGATTCTCTGATGTTCAGTGAGGACTGATCTCTGAGTAAAAGCCTTCCCACAGTTATCACATTTATAGGGTCTCTCTCCAGTGTGAATTCGCTGATGTTCTGTAAGACTTGTTCTTTGAATAAAGGCTTTTTCACATATGTCACACTTATAGGGTTTTTCCCCAGTGTGAATTCTCTGATGCTGAATAAGGCCATTCTGACTGAAGGATTTCCCACATTCCTTACACTGATAGCATTTTTCTTTGTGGTGGATTTCCTGATGGGAAACAAGGGATGAGTTATAAACAAAGGCTTTTCCACATTCGTTGCACTCATAGGGCTTTGCACCAGTGTGAACTCCTTGATGCTGAGTAAGTATGGAACGCCGACTAAAACTTTTATTACACTGAGTACACTGATAAGGTTTGTCTCTTGTGTGGATCTTGAGATGGTGAAAGAGGCCTGCTTTCTGACTAAAGGTTTTGCCACATTCATTACAGTGGTAGTGCTTTTCTCCTGTGTGAAGTCTCTGATGTTGGTTAAGAGCTGACCATCGGCCAAAGGCTTTGCCACACTCATTACATTTATATGGTTTCTCTCCAGTGTGTATTATTTTATGTCGAATAAGCACAGTTCTCCCACGGAAAGTTTTTCCACATTCTTCGCATTTGTAGGGCCTGTCTCCAGTATGGATCCTCTGATGTTCTATGAGGCGTGAGTGCTGATTAAAAGTTTTTCCACAGTCATCACAGTTATAACATTTTTCTCCTGGACAGATTCTCTGGTGTTCAATATGGTCTGAGTTATCAGTCAGACTTACTCCATTTTCTTCACATATAAGTTGCTTATCTTTCCCGGAGTATCCAGAAGGCTCTTCTGTTTCTTCTTCAGGTTCAGTTTCTCTACACCTAGCAGACTGGGACATATCATTTTCAAATCTGCTAGATATATTCCCATGTGGTTCCATTTCTTCAGAAACTTCTTGCTTGAGAGTTAAAGTTCTGTACTCATTTCTGGTCTCAACATCTGAAAACACAAAGGATCATAAATTTTACCTAGTTTCCAGTGATAGCAAATGGTAACTTCATTAGGGTACATAAAATTATTCAAATGAAAACTATAAGAACCTAGAGTTTCTGCATGACTATAAAATGTCATTAGACTATAGGATAACCTAAGAAATAAAGCATTGAAAAAATTAAGGAAGAGATCAATAACCCAACAAAAAATTGTGAAAAGGAAAAACTGATGGTTTCCAGGAAATACAACAGTTTTTAAACATAGGAAAAGATGCTGTTTCTCACAATTAAGGAAAAGCAAATTTAGACAATATTGATTTGCCTAATCAGTTTAATATAACAGTGTGTTCATGAAATGGATAGCATACATTGCTGGTGGGAGTGTGAATTGATCTAAGCCTTCATAAGAGGGCAACTGCACAATACCTATCAAACCTCTGAACATATGAAAATTTATGCTACAGATACATTCATACACACAGTTATTTATTGTAGCATTATTGTTATAGTACAACACTGAAGACAAACGTCATCAGTAGGGGACTGGCTAAGTTAACTGTGGCATATCCATATATTAAGCAGTTGTGAAAAAATAAAAAATACAAGATTCTCCTATCTTAGTGGTAAAGAGAGGAAAAAGGTATTTGTTTCAATATGCAAAATGTATATACATTAACAAAATTTCTAGATTTTAATATAAGAAATTAATAGTAACAACCTATTTCAAAGCAGATGAAGAGTCTAGATGGCTAGGGGAATTGAGTAGAAGGGAAGTTTTTCACTAAATAACTTTTAAAATTTTTGTTTTTGAACCATGCAAATTTTTACCTACTTAAAAAATTAAATGAAAGAAAAACAGAAAGTAGAGATAAGGAAAGCAGAGGATCTTTCATACATTCACTAACTTTTAACAGTTTTGTGACATCTGCTTTATTATTCCTTTCTTTTACATGTGTACACAATTTTTTTTTCCTTAAACCATCTTAGAATTAGCTGTAGACAGCATGGCCAAACGGTTTATTTACTGAAGGTGACAGAAATATAGCCCAAATGGAAGATAGTGGTATTGTATGGTATGACAAAGGCTAGAAATAGCAGACACATGAGTATAAAGGAAGATAACTATCAGAAGGACTAAATTAAGGGATCTCAAATGAAATACAGCCATCATTTAGAAAATGAATATCAAAAAAAAAAGAACTGAAGTAACAAACCAGGCTGCCTGAGAATCTATGCATGAGTCATCAGATTCCTAGAGAGGCCTTTTTAACTTTAATGATCACAAACTGTACCAAGTACAAAAGAGCCCCAATGGGTTGTGCTAGGCCTGTCTTCGCTTTCCTCTCAAGATGAGTCTTTTTTCTTTACCATGCTCCTGTTGGGCTTCAAGTTCTGGAGGTTCACACTTTAGCTTGGCTTTCATGGACTGGAGGGACATACTGGGTTCTTGTTCTGTTCTTAGAGATGCCATCTCCTGCAAGAATATTTCCTGTTCCTCAGGATGAACTGAGACCTGAGAAAAATGAGATATAGCTGACAGACTTGCTCTGAGAACAGAAAACAAAAGAATATACCATTCAAGTTAGTGGCACCTAGCTTGCTAAAATTTAAAATGACCTTCTTTCCAGATATCAGCCTGCCATGATCCTAACCAGTTTTCAAGGCCAATGCAAATGTCACCTCCTCTTGGGAACATTTTTTTTTCTAGCCAGAAGTAATTTCCCCTGGTGTTAACAGCTAGTGTGTTGGTTGTGCCATTTTTACTTTTTTGTCTTCTTTCACACCCAAAGAGGTGTGAAAGGGAAAGAGAGAAAGACATAACAGAGAAGAAAAAGAAGGTAAAAAGAGGCAGAAAAAAGAAAAAAGAAATTAGGAGAAAAAGCATGAGAGAGAAAGAAGAAAAGGAAAGGGGATAAGTAAAGGGAAATAATAAGGAAGAAAGGAAGAAGGGAAAAAAGGAGCAGGTGAAGAAGGAGGGAGAAAAAAAGGAAAAAGAAATGAAAAAGAAGGAAAAGGAGAGAAGTCTCTTCCATATCCAGAAACTGTTCCCTATAGTCTCTGCCCCTTCTGAGGAGCCCAACCCACTTCTGTCTGGGAAGATGATCTATTTTTCTATTCATCTCAAAAATCACCTACACTTCATTTTATCTGCTCCCTCATACTCTTCTCTCTCTCTCTTCTGTCTTAAGGGAAAATGTCTTCTCTTTTTGAAGGATCACATCTCTAATTTTGCCTTCAATCTTATCTCTTTCTGCTTCCCTCTGACCCTTGCCTCCTCAATTAACTAACTCATTTATTCAACAATTTCAGCCACTCTGTGGCTCCCCTTCCTCCATAGGCCCACTTTCTCTAACGTTTAAAAATAACTGGTTTTCCTAGCATAGTACTGTGAAAAACAGGGATCTGGAATCACGCTAATTACTTACTCTGTCTCTTAAATGTAGTAGTTCTGTGACCTTGGGCTAGTTACTTACTTTTTCTGAAATTATACATATCATGTATATAAAGCACCTGGTATAGAGCCTTGCCATACAATATGCCCTCAAACCACCTTCCCATTTCCTTTAAAGGATAAATTTTATAAATAAGAAATCACACAATGCCTCTATTTCTCTGACACAGTTTCGTTGTATAGCTTCTGTCTTCAAAGTTAGAGCCAGAATCAGTAGAATGCTATCTCAGTTTTATAGAAAAAGATGTTGTGACACTTCAAATTTTGCGGAAAAAAAGGGGGGAAAAGGCCAGTACAGTGAGTCTTTTTTTTTCTATTCCTGCCTTCTGTTCCCAGATCTCTGGCTAGGCTTCAGAACTCAAGCTAAATTCCATAAGCTTTCCCCAGCATATTTTCAAAGAAAGGCCTGGTTGGCAATACAAACTCAACATTGTTTAAAATCAAGTTACTTTTGCCTGTACCTAAGAACCCCATTATTTCTTCTCGTTCTCTTCCTACCTCCCTGGCCACTACTCAGTTTCCACTGTTGTTTATTCTCTTGATAATATCTTCTTGTCTCACAACTTTAAATATCATGCATATCCTGAAAAGTCCCAATTTTATATTTCTAACACAGACTCCTCCACTGAATTCCAACTCTTTATATCCAGTCGCTTGCTCAACTGTTCCACTTGGCTTCCAGTAGGAATCTCAACACCAACATGTTGATTCCTGTCCCTCCACCTCAAACTTACTTCTCTCCCAGTCTACCATTTCTATGAATAACAAAAATTTTGTTCAAACCAAAAATTTTGGCATAATCCTTGACTTACTTTCTCTCACATACAATATCCCATATAAAAACAAATCCTGGCAAGCTCTACTTTCAAAATATATTCAGAATCTAACCATATTTTACCACTTCCATTGCTACTATCCTAGTACAAGTGACCAATATCTCTTGCCTGAATTATTGCTTATAGCCTCCTAAAGTGGTACCCTTGCTACTACCACTCCTCCAGGCCCATTGTAAACTTTCTCAACATAGTAGTCAGAGTAATTATTTTGAAATTTACGTCAGATTACATCACTCAAGTCTCCAATAAACTTTCCATCTCAGAATAAAATACAAAGTTCTTATAATGACCTACAAGTCCCTACATAATGTGATCTCCTTATAACTATTTCATCTCCTCTTTGATAAACACATCTTTACCATGATAAGCACATTCTTACATTAAGATCTATCCATGTACTATTCCCTCTGCCTGAATGCTCTTATCCCTAATATATGTATGGATTGCTCTTTTAATTCAGATTTTTGCTCCTAAACATCACCCTATCTGAAGTCTTCCCTGACAACCCTATCAAAAATAGCACAATCCCCATTTCCGTCACTACTCTTTTTCTGTGCTTTTATTGTTGTTGTTTTCTTTTATTTTCCCTGTAATTATAACAATATATTTTAAACCGATGATAAATTTAACTTTGATCACAAGGAAAAGAAACAAATGGCAAAAAAAAATTTTTTTTAACTCTACACTTTAACTTCGTTGCCCCCTACATTTTGATATCTCAATGTACATCTTTTATATTACCTATCTCTTAAAAACATGTAGTTGTTGTTTTCATAAAATTTGTCACCACTTGATATCTTATATGTCTGTTGATTTTAAAATTTACTGTTTGTCTCCTCTTAGTAAACTAGAATTTACATAAGAGCAGCAATCTTCTATCTTTTAACTGTTGCATTCACAGTGCCTAAAACAGTACCTGATACAAATAGATATTCAGTAAATATCTGCTTAATGATTTCCTATAGTCTTCAGATCTGTTAGGAATGTCTCCATCACACTAATCTTTCAAGCTTCAAATTCCTAGTGTTTGGCCTAGAACAGATTCCTCTACAAAGAGTTGTCCATTTTTACTTTTTTACAGATTGAATCTGTCATTATTTCCATTAGCTCTTACCTAAGACACGCCTCATCCTTTGTAGTCACACGTTCATGACCCTATTTTGAACTTAAAATATTTTTGCCAAATGCTCCTTCCCTCTCTATTCTATTTTGTATCCTAGTGCTAGATTGCACTTCCTGTTTTATTATTTCACTAAATTTCTTATTCTTTATACCAAAGATTCCTAGTCTTGACTCTATTGACATACTGGGTCAGGTTATTCTTTGTTGTCAGAGTCTATCCTGTGTGTTGTAAGATGCTTGGCATCATCCTTGCACTTTTGCCTATGAGATGCTAGTAACACCTCCCACAGTTATGACAACCAAAAATGCCCCCAAAATGTCCCTGGGGCACAAAATTGCCACTGGTTGAGTAACAGTGTTTTATATCACTGTTAAAGCAAAAAGGTTCTGCATAATTTGGTTCCCTTTTACTTCTCAGGACTTGCAAATCTAATTTGAACTCAAGGAGAAAAGGCTGAGAGCCTCTGCCCCACAGAATGAAATCTAAACTCCAGAGGTTAACTGTACTCTATCTCAAGTCTTCTATTCAAAACTCACCTTTCCAACCTAACTGGGCTTTCTGCTGCTCAAAAAAACACGAATCCTTGCCCTGGTCTCCCCGCTAACTTTCTATTCTGCTCCTACATCCCATTGCCCTGAAATGATGACTTTGATTTCTCCATCTTTTAATATTTTAATGGAGAGTCAGGGTAGTGGATATATCTGCAAAATCTTATTTCTTGATCATTTGTATTATGCAACAGAAGTGATGTCCCTTTCAAGAAGCTGTTTCCCACCCTGCCTCCTTAGTCTAACGAACACCTTCTCTCTGTCTTAGAAGTCTTCTGTTTTTAGCTGAGTACCATGTTCATCAAACAGAATTTCGTAGCTTAGTGCAAAAGTACACATCCTTCTGCAGAAAAGGTATAAGTCAGGACCACATTAACCTATTTTCCATGAAACTCAAGCTCCTTTCTGATACACCAAACTCTCAAGAATGTGCTTTGTGAAATAGTGCTGTACTTCACTGTCACCTAGAAATCCACAATTTCTCTTTTCTCAAATACAAATCACATCTTTTTTCTCACCTGATCCCCTGGTTCATCCAGCTCTCTCTCTAAATCCTCCAACACAGTCACTGCCTCCTCCCCACTCTCTGGATGCTGCTCCTGTACCCAGGTCTGGAGCTCCTCAGGCAAAATGGTGAGAAACTGCTCCAGCACCAACAGCTCCAGAATCTGTTCTTTGGTGTGGGTCTCTGGCCTCAGCCACTGATGGCAAAGTTCCCGAAGTCGGCTCAAAGCCTCACGGGGTCCAGATGTTTCCTGGTAGCAGAACTGTCTGAAGTACTGTCGGAAGACCTCTCTGCTATGGATGTTGTTGTTTTGCAGGTTCCAATTCTGTCTGGTGGTATACTTATACTTTTCCTCCTCCTCCTCCTCTATCTTTATTTTCAAAAGTTCACCTTGATCCTTGTGGGCCTGTATAATCCAAGTAGATGCCATCATAATTGTGCAAAAACTCTTCAGTGCTTCAAGTAAGATTTCCCCTGAAAACTTTCTTCCTGGATGAAACTGAGGAATAAGCCATCATCAATAATACAAACTACACCTTAAACAATACTGCAAATTCTAAGAACTTATGACCTTTGAAAGCCTGCTTCCAGGTTAATTTACAATACTCAGAGAAGTACTTTGATAGAAAAGACTCAAGAATGCAAAGAAAGGTTATTATTTAAATAGAAAGGTTACAGAAAAGGTGCCAAGTTGTTTTAGGACTTTAAGAAAGAAGAGCAAAATTTAGTAGGTAACTTATTTCCACTCAGCCCTAAAATAAAGGACAATTAACTGGAATAAAACTAACATTTAGAACCAGTAAATAGTAATAGTATAAGGTTAGAACATCCTTGATCAGTTACTCTTCTTTTTTTTAAATACCCAGCTGTCTGGTGGAAACCGTGAAATCACAAAAGCAGCAAAGTCACATAAATTTATTTTCTCAGGGACTTAATCTCTCTGCATCTCATTCTCTTATTTATAAAGAGTAAGAGCAGAAGAGGTTACTGCTCCTTGAGGCTTGCTTGAGGCGTCGTATACTGTGACTACAAATCCAAAGGCAGACAGGTCAAGGAAAGGATCCCTAGGACGCCTGCCAGCGCCTGCGACTCGGTGTCCAGAAGTGCCGGGAGGCGCTTCGCCCGCAGAGGCCTGAAACAAACCCGGACGGTGTGGGGCGCACGGCCTAGACTCTCGGCCTACTGGGGGCGGCCCTTCGCCCTAGGGCTCCGCCGCTCTCTAGACGCCGCGGGGGTGACCTCTGGGGAGCCAGCGCTTCCCGCGGACCCGCCTAGGCAGGAAAGGAGCGGAGCCCGCCCGGCACCAGAGTGAGCCTGAGGGGCCAGGCCGCGGGAACACAGTAATGCCCCGCCTCCCCGCCCGCCGCGTCCAGGGCACTGGCTCGCTCACCCGCGGCCCCGGGAGGCCGGCTTACGACTCCCTCTTCAGGAGCAAAGGGCTGGGCCGCGGACCCCTTCGGGACCCGGAACCCACCACCAGCGACCCACAGACGCCGGAAGCGGCCGCGCGGTGCGGAGGACGTGCTCTCTCGGCCCGCGCGGGGCGCGCTTCCACGGCCGTTCTAGGAAAGGGGCGGGAGGGGCTTCCAACTCGGTAGTTTCTCCGCGCGTCCACGCAAGAGAAAGGCTGAGGATGCTCAGGACCGCGGATAAACGGAGTTGGCTTGCTTCTCTTTCTCTACCCACTTTCCCCGACCTCATGGGTGGTCGAGAGCTGATCAGTAGATAGGGAAATCCCAAGTTTTTCCACTCTTATTTTTGGTTTCTGTATCTCTGAGATCCTTCCTGACTCAACCACACTTCACGATATTCGTGAAGGGACTTGTGCGCTGATAATTATACCTCTGAAAACCCACAGAGTTTAAAAGAAAAATATAAAAAAGGTAACAGGATGTAAAATTAACACACTAAAATCAATAGCATTCACATATACGAATAACCAGTGAAAACTAGTTACGAGATGTAATGAAAGAAAAGACCATGTTTACAATAGCAACAAAAAAGGCAATAGGAATAAACAAGAAAAGAGCAAAACATATGGAGAAAACTTTCAAACACTCATGAAAGCTCAAGTGTAAACTTTAAAAATTAGAAAGCAATATACTGTCCTTGAATAGAAAGACTCAAAGAAGTCAACCCCCCCAAACATGTATACAACTGTAAAATTACAACTGAAACTGCCAACAAATATTGTTCTAGAATTAAACAAACTTATTATAAAGTTGGTTTTTTGTTTTGTTTTGCTTTGGCTTTGTTTTTTGAGTTGGAGTCTCTGTCGCCCAGACTGGAGTGCAGTGGCCGCTCCCGGCCACCGATCCTTCCGCCTCAGCCTTCCAAGTAGCTGGAACTAAAGGCGCGCGCTACCACGCCCGGCTAATTTTTGATTTATTGTAGAGATGAGGTCTCGCCAATTTGCCCATGCTGGTCTCGAACCCGCGGGCTCAGGCTATCCTCTCACCTCAGCCTCCCAAGGCGCGGGATTACAGGCTGAGACACCGTGCCCGGCATTAGAAAGTTTAAATGGACATGAAATTCCTGAAAAAAAAAAATGGTGAGGGACAGTCTTACTAGAACATATTAGGATATATTGGTGTGTGAACAGACTGAATGACTGGAAATAAACATAGATGTGTATGAACATTTGGCAAATGATGAAGTGACATCACATATCAATGGGAAATTAAGGACTTATAAAGTAGTTGTGTTGGGATGACAGATAGCCCTCTAATCAAAGGTAAAATTGAATCCATATCTCCAACCACTCATCATAATCAAGATAAATTTCAAATGGATCTGAGATCCAAATGTAAGAAATGCACCTATTAGTAGAAAACATAATAATGCTAACACCAGGGAATGAAGAAATATTATCTAAACACATGACTTAAAATCCAAAAGTAATAAAAAATGATAAATCTGACTACATAAAAATAACATGTATTGCTTGTCAAAAACACCATAAGGAAAGTAAAAAAAAAATGACATTAGAAAAAGATTTGCAGCATATCACAGGCCAGGGCTAGTATTCCAAATATATAAAGAGTTTCTCAAAGTTGAGAAGAAAATAACCAGTAACCCAACAGAGTAAGTAGTCAAAAAACCAAACAGCTGACAATAAAAAATGCTAGCAGCCTTCAAACATCTGCAAAGATGTTCAACTTCACTGAAACATGAAAATGCAAATTAAAAACAACACTAAGGTACCATTAGTCATCTTAGGTTGGCAATGATCCAGAAGTTTGACAGCATATTCTGTTCATGAGGAAAAAGGAACTCTCATACATCCCTAAATGCAAAATGGCACAACCTCTATGTAGGAAAAATAATAATATACAGCCTAGCCGGCTCGGTGGCTCAGCCTGTAATCCCGCGCCTTTGGGAGGCTGAGGTGAGTGGATCGCCCGGGCCTGCGGGTTCGAGACCCGCCTAGGCAGCGAGACCTCATCTCGACAGTAAATCAAAAAATCAGCCGGGCGTGATAGCGCGCGCCTGTAATTCCGGCTACTCGGAAGGCTGAGGCGGAAGGATCGCCGGAGCCCAGCAGGTCGAGGCTGCGGTGGCCGGGAGCGGCCACTGCACTCCAGTCTGGGCAACAGAGTGAGACTCCAACTCAAAAAAAAAAATAATAATAATAATAATAATATACAGCTAAATTATATAGGTAAGTCTATCCTTTATTCCTGCAATACCACTTCTAGAAATCCATCTCAAAGATATATTGGGAAAAAAAATGAAGTGACATGTACAAGGTTATTCACTGAAGCAGTCACACTAAAGATTGAAAATAAACCAGTGTCCATCGCTGAAGGACTGATTGTATAAACTATAGTATATCTACCCAGTAGAGTATGAGGTAGTTATAAAAATAAATGAGAACTATATCAATGTACTATATCAGTGCCGTGGAGTGATTGACTTGTGTTTTTAGTATACTACCTGTGTTAGGCAGAATAATAACTTCCTAACGATGTTCACATCCTAATCCCTAGAAGCTATAAATATATTACATGGCAAGGGGGAAATAATGTTGCAGCTAGAAATAAGGTTGCTGGTCAACTGACCTCAAGATAAGTTTCCTTAGCTCTAAACCAACTTTTTTCAGTTTCAATAAAACTTAATTTTTGGACACTGAAATTTGAATTCAAGGTAATTAATTTATCATGTCACAAAATATTATGCTTTATAAATCTTTTACATTAAATTTTAAGATAATTATAGATTCACAGTCAGTTGTAAGATATAATGCAGAAAGATCTCATTTACTCTTTACCAAGTTACCATAATTAGTAACATCTTGCAGAACCATAATACACTATCACAACCAGAATATTAACATTGATACAGTCAAGAGACAGAAGATTTCCATCACTATAAGAATCCTTTTTGATAAACACACACATCTCCCTTTGCCCCTAATTTTCTTTTTGAGCCTGGCAACTACTACTCTATTCTCTATTTCTATAATTTTGTCATGTCAAGAATGTTATATAAATTGAATGTATCAAATGTTATATAAATTGAATGCTTAAATGTTTAACCTTTTTGGATTAGTTTTTTTCCACTCAGCGTAATTCTTTGAAAAATATTCAGATTGTTCTATGTATCATTCTTTTTTTGTTATATTTCACAGTATGGATATACTACTGATTATTTAACTACTTACCCATTGAAGGAAGTCTGGGTTGTTTCCGGTTTGGGGCTACTACAAATAAAGCTGCTATGAACATTAGTGTACAGGTGTTCGTGTGAACTCAACTCTTGATTTCTCTAGGATAAATGCCTAGGAGTGCAATTGTTGGGTCATATGATAGTGTGCTTGGTTTTTTTCTGATAAACTACCTATTTTCCATAATGGTTGTTCCATTTTTTCATTCCCACCAGCAATGATTGATTCAGTTTCTTTGTATCTTCACCAGCACTTAGTGTTGTTACTATTTTTTTTAGCCTTTCTGATAGGTGTGTAGTGGTGTTTTATTTGGTTTTAATCTGCATTCCCCTAATGGGTAATTATATTAAGCATCTTTTTTGTATGTTCATTTGCCATAAATATTGTTAGCAAAATGTCTTTTTACGTCCTTTGTTCAAGTTCTAATTGGATTGTTTGCTTTTTTACTGTTGGGGTTTGAACATTCTTTATATAGTCTAGACACTAGTCCTTTGTCAGATATGTGGCTTGCAAAACTTTTCTCCCACTTCTGTAACTTGTGTCTTCATCCTTTTAATAGGGTTTTTACTGAGCAAAAGTGTTTACTTTTGATGAATTTCTTTTTTTTTTTTTTTTTTTGAGTTGGAGTCTCACTCTGTCGCCCAGACTGGAGTGCAGTGGCTGCTCCCGGCCACCGCAGCCTCGACCTGCTGGGCTCCAGCGATCCTTCCGCCTCAGCCTTCCGAGTAGCCAGAATTACAGGCATGCGCTACCACGCCCGACTGATTTTTTGATTTATTGTAGTGATGAGGTCTCGCTGCCCAGGCGGGTCTCGAACCCGCGAGCTCAGGCAATCCACTCACCTCAGCCTCCCAAAGGCGCGGGATTACAGGTTGATCCACCGAGCCCGGATGAATTTCAAATCAGAAAAGCAATAGATGCTGGCACGGATCTGATGAAAAGGAAATGCTAATATATTGTTGGTGGGAATGCAAATTAGTACAATCTCTATGA